GCCCTAAAGCCCGTCACTACGCACCGCCACTGCTTCTACCCCCCTGTCCTGCTTATCATCTCTCTCATCCCCGCTCTTGTCGGAACTTGTCCTCGTCCTCTCCCAACAGCATGCCCCATGTTGGTGAAACAGGGGACATAATCAAGAGCAATAGATACTCCCAAGACATATCCTTTGTTATTCCACTTAGGCGTTTATGAAACGTTTTGAATGTTTTTTTTAATGGTTTGGAGAAGTCTCGACGAAATGGGAATATTTATGAGTTCTTCGAGGGAAAAAGCAGCAAAAACGTGTCAATTGAATTAATTTAAAAAAAAAATTAGTAGAGAGTTTTACGGCGCTCGCAACTGCATAAGGTCATATGAGCGCCAAGGGGTGGGTGTCAACAGAGACGTCTTTACGGGGAATCAGACGTACTCTGCTCACCTCTCTATCTTCAACAGCACAAAGTCTGCTTCGACTATCAAGGCACCCCGGAAATAGCGGGTCACAAGAGAGTGACACAAACATACAAAAGAAGTAGAGGAAAATGACAATAGTAAGGATTGGGAAAGAAAAGGCAGCAGTTCCCTGTTGTAGATCAGGCACAGTAATGAGCGTGACATGGATGAATCAGCCCATTTACAATTGTACTGTGCATGAACGAGAAATGTCTCCCTTTGGGAATGGCCTAAAGACACTAGAGTCAGTGGCAATACCTCGGGGGTTCAAATGAATTTGGATTTTCCCACTTCGACTAAACGGAAGACTTCATACAGGATAAAGCCCCAACAAAGTATCAACTGAACCCGAACCTGCTGTCGCTTAATTTTTAAACAAACTCGCAAAAGAACAAATAGACAGAGAAACGAAAAGAAAAAGCAGCAACACAACTTATCGTTGAAAGGCAGGTACAATAAAAGATTTGAATGATGAAAGGGTAGGAAAGAAAAAAGGACACGATTGAGATTTTGGAGGGTAGCCAAGGCTTTAACCGTGACGTCAATGTATGGATAACGGGATAACGGGAAACAGCTGGTAAAGGAAAGTTCTTTTTCTAGCTGCACTTGCAGGTGAATCTACGTACACATTCATGCTATTCTCAAAATTATGCATGTACAAGTGTGGGCTGAAAAGTAATGCCTGTGTTGCCACAACTCCTTACTTATTCATTGAAGTGCAGGATGATGAAAATACGAGTATCTAAACGACCACCACAGAAATTCCAATTCTTTATTTACACCCAAAGTTACGGGTGTAACCTACTCAATCCCTGTTCCGTCAGATGTACAAGACAGAGAGCAGTTACCTTGACACGTGTCTGTCCACGTTTTAAATTCCTGAAGGTTTTCATATCACTACGTACCCTTGAATTACAAAGTTTTTGTCTGCCCAGTAGGCCTACCTAGTTTTGAGAAATTTGATGTCAAAAGCTTTGAGTTTCACAACATTATGTCAAGCTTTTTCGAATGCTATTCTATGAATATCTTGATAACGACTCCGAATAATCTTACGATTTTGATTGAGCAGATAGAACATTTTGGTTTTTGACGTCATCGTCTTAGTAACTAAATCGACCAAAAATGTCAGATAGAACTTTGTAATCTAATACGGCTCGATCGCCAGAAACTGAAACGTGTTTGTTTTCGAGGCGATCGAGTTGGCATCCGTAGGGGCACCCCGTATAAGGTAACGATATCCAACCTCTGGGGGATTGCCTTATCTCCGATCTACTCCTATAGCTGCCAGTAGGTCTATTTCTTCTTTTTTTTTCATTTGGTCTTCAGTACCGTGCCTGATGGGGCAATCTCGTCTCTATGATTCTCGAAACATGTCTCGAATCTCCCCATCTTCTCTGTTTTATGGTTGTATCGGTATTTTCAGTCCCAGCTCTTCCTAACATTTCATTATTTGTGACAAATTCATTCAATGTTACTATTAAAACTCGACCAATGATAACAAAAAATGGCGACTCTCAGAGAGGTTCGCTTCTAGTAACGTGCTATCATGGAATTTCTTACTGCCAAAGGCCTTTCAGGAGCAACAAATTACGCAAGAATAAGGTCAGCTGTTTATGGCGAGGTTTATGTTGATGCTTGCACTGTTGGGCGATGGGCAGGGCAAGATCTTTGAGAGGAGAAGATCTGACTAAAACAAAACTAGGCTATAAGGCTATATGTTGATCATTACTTCATTACATGCGCTCTGATAGGCCAAAGAGTGCCTCGAATTCAGCCAATCAAGATTAATTAGGTAAAGAGTAGGCTATAATTAAGACCAGTCGACTTAGCAACCCGAATTCACCACATCATCTTTACGCATATCCTGGGCTATAAGAAATCCCCTGCTGGGTGGGTCCCTTGAATGCTGACAACTGAAATGAAAGATCAGCAAAACAATGACGTACACCGAACTTTTGAAACGGCTTGAACAAGAACAAGAAGATGCTTTCCTGCAACACATTTTGTTACGGGGATGAGTCATGGGTGCATCACTGTCACCCAGAAAGCAAACGCAGTCGATGGAGTATAGGCATTAAACTCCCCTGGTCCAAAAAGAGTTAATAACTGTGGTCTCAGCAACAGTGTTGCTTGCCATATTCTTAGACTGGGAAGGCGTTGTCAACATAAAGTTCTGGAACAGTGGGAAGACTCTGCGAAACACGTGCGAAATTGTAGCCTATTAGCCCACTGCAGCATTGTAAGGTTAACATTAATTTTATTGCAAGCACAATGAGCACTTTCACAGGAAAAATGTGCTTAATATAGAAATGATTGACTATTTAAAAAAAAAATTAGGGTAACTTAAGAGGTGGGGGAAGACAGTGAATTGAGAACAATGTTGTTGCGACTTAAGATAAAGTGTAATCCAGACTGAGACGGGTTTGTCCTCAGGAAGAATAAAATACTACAGCAGGACAATGCGACCCCCCCCCCCCCCCCACACACACACAGGCTACACAAGTCGGCTCCCCCCACCATGGCAGTGCTACTGACTGAAGTGTCTCTAGGCCATTCCCAAAGGGGGAATATTAACATGTTCTCAAGCACAAAATTGTAAATGGGCTGATTTATCAATGTCATGCTCATACTGAGCCGGAACAACTGCTGCTTTTTCTTTCCTCATCCTTACTATAGTCATTTTTCTCTACCTCTTTTGTATGTTTGTCACTCTCTTGTGAACTGCTATTTCCGGGGTGCCTTGATAGTCGAAGCAGATT